AGTAGGTGCTTAACAACTGTGGATTCAGAAAGGGAAAGGTAGTAATTTAGCTTTATTCCCTCCAGAGAGAGGGAAGTAATTGAGTAATAGTTGGCAACCTTTAAGTCAGTAGGCCAGATTGATCGAGTTCAGGTCAGAGATGGGCTGGAAGGTGATTGGGTGGGCAATAAGACCAGAGTGCTACTGCTACTTTTTCCACATCTAGCACACAGAAAGCACCAACAGGGGCAAGAGGCAGGCCCTCAAGTCCGCATCCACTGACCTCGGGACCAGCGACGTAGGCAAGTGACACCCCCCAACCCCCAGGGTGCGTCTGGGAGGGGCACGGGGTGTAGAGGCTGGTGCCCGGACTTGTTTTTCCTTTGTGCCCAGCCAGGGCATCTTGGCCAGTGCCTCTTCTGCTCTGTGCCTCAGTTTCTCTGCCCACAAAGCTGCTCACGGGGCAGCTCCTGCCACAGCTGAACCCTAATGCATGGGCAGGGAATGCCCCCCCACCCTCCCCCGCCTTCCTTGCTTCCAGCTTTGTGGGGGGCAGGGCATGGTCGGGGGCTGGGAGCCAGGCTGCCTGCGTTCTGTCCTGGCTAGCTCCACCGTAGGAGCTGGCTCAGTGCTTGCTATTGGGACCCTCCATGACACCCCCGTCCTGCAGGACAGCTGCGGGCCACGTTGCAGCGCCACCATGGAGCCTTTTGCTCTCTCCACCCCCTGCTCCCCATCCCCCCCCATGAAACTGGAGCCAGGAGGGGGCGTTTGCTGTGCCCGGGTTAATATTAGCAAGGAATTCAGCCAGCCGGGTCCAGGGGCAGCTGGGGCCTTCCTGCTAGGCAGGGCCATGGGTGAGAGTGGCTGGCACGGGCACTGCCGGAACCTGTCCCCAGCTGCAGCCGTCACAAAATCACCTCCATGCCCAGGCCTCGCCCGCTGTACTGGGGATGAACCCAGGCATCTGGACTCCTAGATCCCTTTAGGGCTGGGGAGGGGCCCCCCTGTGGCCCCCCTGGCTGACACCCGTATCCCCACAGTGCCGGGCCGTGTGCTCGAGGTGACGGACCTGCCCGAGGGCATCACGCGCAGCGAGGCCGACAAGCTCTTCACGCAGCTGGCTATGGCGGGTGCCAAGATCCAGTGGCTGAAGGAGACACGGGGCCGGCGCGGGGCAGGCACAGGGGCTGGGGACGGGTGCGTGGGGCCCGAGAATGGGCGGCACCCCGACCTGGCGGCACTCTACACGGTGGTGGCTGTGTTCCCCAGCCCCCTGGCCGCCCAGAACGCCTCGCTGCGCCTCAACACGCCGCTCAGCCGCTTCCGCCTGCGCGGCGCCAAGCGCCACTACGACCTGCGCGTGCTGGAGCGCGCCAGCTCCCAGTAGGGCCCCCGCCGGGCTGGGGGCTGCGCTGGACTTCTGGCCCCCGGAGCCTCCCCGCGCGCCTCTGCTTTTGTTCGCCCCGTTTCTTTCTGGAGATATTTATATGGACACGATGAAGAGGAGACAGTGATTTGTTCCTGCCGCTGCCCTTTGATTTTGGAGTGAGAGGTCCTCGCCTGGACCCCCATAACCCCCCTGGCCTGGCCTGGATCCCCCCTGCCCTGGACCCCACCACAGACCCCTTGCCCCAGCCTGCACCCCCCACAGACCCCCCCAG